GTTGAGATGCAGACCTGAGATGAGCATTCCCCCCACAGTGTTTTTTTTTTTTTTTTTTTTTTTTTCTTCCGGAAAATACAAGGGTTCCGGACAGGCACCCGGACAGGGGTTCCGGACCGGTCCGGATATTCCGGACTATTCTGGGTTTTAGGAAGTCCGGATGTCGCCGGGAAGTCCGGGGTCCGGATTCGGTCCGGAGTCCGGTCCGGCGTAGCTATGCTTAATTCTCTCTGGTATCTCATCTACAAACTTGTCCAAATTCTTGGTATGGCACCTACATGCGACCGGGGACCATCATCATTCAATCATCAGGAGGGATTTTCTGTGAGCACCTTCTTCTCTCACAACCAGCAGTTGACTGAGAAACCCTTGGGGATTCCCTCCCCCTTCCATCCCCGCCCCCTCTCCTACCCCCTTCACCCTCGGCCCTTTGGTTTGATTTCATTTTGTCTGCTTCCCTGGCTTCCTGTCTCCATCTGTCTGTGTCTCTCTCCTCGGACTGTCAGTTATGTGCCATATGTGTGTCTCGTCTTCCGAAGCTCGACGTGTGATTGTTTTGGCAAATCATTGTCCATTATTGTCTTTTTCTTCCTCCCTCTTTCCCTTCCTCGATCCTCTCCCTCCCTCTTAGCTGCACTGCAGTCGCCGACCTTTTTCCCCAAAGCTGGAAGTGTGCCTGTTGTGACATGTGATTGTATATGAACTTGTGCATTTGCAGGTGTATGAACAACCCGTCGTGGCTGTTCTGTCGACTGGAGATGAAATTGTGGATGCTGCGGGCGGCGCTGCAAAGTTAGGACCAGGCTATGTAATGTTTCACGGTTTCAACCCATCCCTTTCTCCTCCTTTTCATGCACTTGCCTGTGCGTCACCTCATGCTCTCTGGCTTGCACTGATGTTCTCCTTATTCATCAGCAATTCAGCTGTGCTGTTGGTACATTCCCGTTGATCACTATGGACATTTCTCGTTCAGTTGTATAGGAACGCACTGAAGAAACTGATAGAGGAACTCCTGGAAATGAGAAAAGGAGGGAAACTTCCGAAAAAAAAGAAACCTGAAATGCGATTAATAACCAACTGGCCTAGCTCAGTTGGCACACCCCTGAACTGTTGAATTACAGACCTGAGTTTGAACTCCACTGAAGCCAAATGACTAAAATACTACCAATCTTCAATTACCCAGGGCTGGTCAGTTTGATGATCATATCTCAAGGCCGTCGCCCTTAAAAAAAAAAAAAAGAAAAAAAAAAAAAGGAAATGGGATTAGTGCATTCCATGGCTGTAAATCTTTCTTTGATGTGTTCAGTCCAGCGGCTTTCATTTCAAGGATGAAAAGTTCATAACGACATTAGACAAAAAACAGAGGGTTATTGCCTCGGCACAGGGCCCTGCAGCAGGCGTGTGACCGCCCTAAGTAAAGGCGGACCCCCTGAATCTCAATGCGTCCTGAACTCGACAATTTTTGCAAATCTTGGTCGGCGCCAGACAGTTGCCACGCGCCAGTTGGTTACATCCGCCTTGCTCGTGAGTGTCCGAAATATTCATGAGCCTTCCAGGCCCTTCCAGCAACATGGCCGAAGCAGGGAGCATCCCACGTTTGAGCCTGGGTGGTTGGGCATGCCTAACCAATTCGGTCCTAGGCCACTGTCTGAACGGGCCTGGGCGCACACACTTTGGCCGAGACTGAAGCTACTGGAAACTCAGTCTCACGTGGGAAGCGAGTGAAAGCGCCCGCCACTTTCCATATAGGAAAGGGCAGGGCTCGGAGTCGGGGATCGGCCACTTGCATGCTGATGAGGCAGCGCTGCTAGAGTTTGCGCTCGTGTGCTGCTTCGCTAGTGCATGGGAAGTGTGCGAACGCATGCCCAATTCGGTCCCAGGCCACTGTCTGAACGGGCCTGGGTGCACACACTTTGGCCGAGACTGAAGCTACTGGAAATTCGGTCTCACATTGAAAGCGAGAGAAAGCGCCCGGCACTTTCCATATAGGAAAGGGCATGCTGATGAGGCAGCGCTGCTAGAGTTTGCCCTCGTGTGCTGCTTCGCTAGTGCATGGGAACTGTGTGAGTTCGTGCGGTCGTGTGGTAAGCATGGCGCTGCTAAGGGCAGCGTCATAGCCCAGCCCCCGTAGCCGGGCTTGGGCTTGGACAGTCAGCGGGAGGTGGCGGTGGTCTTCGTGTAAGAGGGAGAAGACGTGGGTGATGAAGTCAAGGGTGAGAGTGAGAGAGAAATGGGGTTGATGATGTGAGGGCACGTACCTGGTCTTGGCGATGGTCTACAAAGGTCAACATCTTCATGTACTTCAGTTTTGCTGTTGACATCAACCGGATGCATTGGCAACTCGTAGGCTGCTAGTAAGCTATGTGATCGTAGTCTAGGCGCTAAGCGTGAAGTAGGAGGAAGGACTCTGGATACATATGTTGGTGGTGGAGAGAGTATGCTCTCATTGACATTCTGATTCAGTGCTTTGTTTCTCCGTTGGTGGAATATCAGTGCATTACTACTTTCTGGACAATGTTTGGACTTGCTGGCTTTCAATTTGATTTTGCACTCTGGTATTTCTGTCATTTCGCTATTGCTCATTTTCCTTGCAATTTGGTATCGGAGCTGGTTCGAGCTGCTCCGCTGACTCCTTCGCAAGAGCTGTTTGGTGCTTCGGTTGACATGGTGGGGCAGTGATAACGCTTGTGCGTAGGGTGATAGGCGGTCCAAGGTTGTGTGGGCACGCCAGGAAGGCTATGTGGTGACATAGGGATGCATGATGGATGATGAGAGCTTGTTGGCGTGGCATTTAATCCGAGGTGGAACTGCATTGCATTGTGGGTTGTGTCGAGGCATCAACCGGACATCATAAATGCACGTAAGGTTATTGGTGAGAAATATGTGGTTGGGGGCAGCATTATGAGGTACGTTGCTCCTTACCTTATCTACCCTCTTTATTACTTCTAACTGAAAGCATGGAAACAAATCCAAGTAAAGTATATAAGAAAAACTGATATGCTGGTCGTATTTTTCTCTGTCTAGAACCCCATACCCCTATAATAATAAACATAGGGATTAAAACACTTGCAAAGATCACATAAAAAAGTAGAAGATCTAGCATGCAAAACACAACAATCATGAAATCTTCCAGAACTAAAAAAACTATCATGTACTCTTTCTTGTAATTTTGAATACTAGACCAACCTACTAACATGTAAATAGGTATAAGAACGTAGACCAATTTTGAAGAATTAACCAAAATTTTAACTGGTTATGAAATGAATTTTTTTGGGACTCAATCGAGTGGTATTTTCATGGGAATTTTATTTATTGTTGTAGGTATTTTATGGAAAATAACTGCAGTTCCTTTTCATATGTGGGCACCCGATGTATACGAGGGTTCTCCTACTTTTGTCACAACTTTCTTGTCTATAACACCTAAGATTGTTGTTCTTGCAAATATGTTACGTGTGTTTCTTTTTAGTTTTTATGATCCAACATGACAAATAATCTTGTTTTTTTGTAGTATTGCTTTCATGATATTAGGAGCATTAGCCGCAATGGCTCAAAACAAAGTCAAAATACTTTTAGCTTATAGTTCTATTGACAATGTAGGTTACCTTTTAATTGGTTTTTCATGTGGAACTATCGAAGGTATACAACCTTTACTAGTAGGTGTTTTTTAGCCAAGTCATTGAAATGATTGTGGATGCTATCTATGAATTGTCCTCTTCTATTGGGCCTCATAAAGCATTGCACAAAGTAAGGCCTGGTTGAAAGCAGACATTATGACTGGTTTCGGCCTTCGGTTGCCTATAACTATATATAACTCTGGTGAGCCTAAAGTTATATTGCCTTTACTGACCAACATTGCTTTGCGGTCTCAAAGTCAGGCAGGCTTTGACGGTAATAAATATGGTTAACCCAATTAACATAACAAAAGCAAATGGTGCACAAAGCCACTTTGAAGTGTAGCTTTGCTAATTTTTTAAACGTGGTGGAAATTCCATAGGGACCCAAAATGGAAATAACACCTTTGTCTAAAGTTTTCAAAGAAACTTCATGCTCGAAATGTAAAAATGATTTAGCTATGACATCATTAAAAACCTTATCAAATAACCATCGCTTGTTCAAAAAACAATAGCACTTCGTGCCTAGTGTACTAGTTTTCATGTATGTTAATTTACGGATAATGAATTCAGTATTGAAAATGATTATCGAGGAAGCTCGAATTCGTTTTTTTGTGGATTTTATATATGTTGTTTTCACTTTATTGACTTGTTATTGTTTTTCATAAGAATTTATTTTTTTATTAGCTAAACCTTTTCTTATAGTGAGTTGTGTCTTGAGAGTCCTCTCGTTGTGAGGTGTCGCGAGCGCTCAACCTTGAGAGTCGACATTCTTCCTGGGGAGCATGCTGGTGAGGGATGGGCGTTGCCTCTGAAGGGCTCTGGACGAAGCACTTGGGTCACGGTCACCATGCCAACCCGATGGGACTAGTACACGCATGCTTTGCTCCTTGTCCTTGGTACTGCTTGCTGTGTTGTAGAGGGAACATGGACATGCCAGTCCAGAGAGAGACGCCTACTGTACCGTCCATAAATATTTCTGGCGAGATCCAAGTTAAATACTGGTTGTGATCGTCGTCCTATCTGCAACGTTAAATAATTCCTGAGGACCTTGGGGGCCGTCCTTAAATTGCCTCTTGATCAACTAGATCAACCGGATGGAAGGCTCGTTGCACGTTGTCGTACCAAATACCCTTCTAAGGGTATTTGGCGTGCTCCCTGCAAGTCGCACTAGTGCAGCCTCGTCCGCTCAACGGCGTGCGTACGGGAGGAAGTTTAGGCTCCCGCCAGGGTGAGTGGCGCGCGCGGGGTATCGACGGCAAGTTGCAACCATGCGCGACATGGAAGGGCACGCCATGGGTGTACGCGGCGTCACGAGGCAGAGGGACGCGCGGCATGTATTCTTATTTTTAGTATTTATTTATTTGTTTGTTTCTATTGGTGTCTAAGGTTTTTTCCCTCGGTAATCGGTCGACCGAGGCGTTGACAGATTCCTGACTACGTACCGAGGGGGTCAACGCGCATGAAGGCCGGTGGGTGCTTGGCCCACGGTGCGGGAGGAAGCCGTAGTGGTGGGGTCCATGGTCGTGGCTTCCCTTGCATTCCATTTGGAGAGCATCGATATCCTAAAGTGGAACGGAATTGGAGAGACATTCCGAGCGGGCCTGTGCGACCGCAGCCCGAGGTAGGCGAGGGTTGCTGTGGGCACACCGTCTGCCGACGATGATCTGCTGTGAGATGGTTTGACTGTGAGCGTGCCCGTTGAAACACAAAAGATGGTGAATTATGTGTGGGCTAGGTGGGGCTAGGGGGGCACCAGTGGGAGGCTGCCGCAGTTTCGACTGTGCGGCAAGGTTAGATAGAGCCCGCCTCCACTTCGGTCCAAAGTTCTCAATTGAATATTTGCTACTACCATCAAGATCTGCATCGGGGTCCGTTTCCTCTGGGACCAAGCTACAAGCTTGCAGCTGGCCCGCATTCGTGATCCGCTATCTCTATGAGGGCATGCCGCTGAGACCGTGAGATGGTGAACCGTGCATGGGCAGAAAGGGGACCAGGGGCACTGTAGGAAAGGCTCGTAGCGCTCGTCGAGCTTAGGTGTAGGGGCGAAAGGCTAATCAGCTGGTCGGTAGCAGATCCCTCTGAAGCTTCACTATGGGAAGTTGGGGTTGCCGAACAACCTATTGATTAGTGAAGGGTAGATTTGCGGAGTAACTGCGGCCGAGCGTTGTGGTGATAGAAGGGGTGTGAGAAGGTGCGTCGACGGGACGAGATGCGGGCAGTAAAAGAGGAGTGAATCGAGACAAGGAGGTGTCCAGGCTGGAGTGCAGTTGGCGCCGACCGGGGCTCACAGCGCTGATACTATGTGCGGGAAGTCTGCACCTGGCGCAGATCCAGGTTGGGATCATTTAGAGTAGAAGAGGACAAAGAAATAGATATGGCGGAGGA